TATTACAGGAGCAGCAATTTGTCCGTGGTGTTTGTTTCCTGACTTGTGGGCATATTCTTGCTTGACAGCAGAATGCTCAGCGAGTTTATCAGCTCTGTGATGTACTCCTGAATGCATCTGTACAGATGCACCTGGCTGGAAGTTCATGTTGTACTGACTAGTGGGTAAGGGCTCCTGTTTTTGAGAGTATATTTGTTCTGTCCTTGCTTGTTCTTGGTGCTGAGGCCACTCCTGGTGTGATGCCAAACTATATGAGGTACTTGGCATTCCTGTAGTTAGTATTGCCAAATTTTCAGGTGCGTGACTGTCTGGAACAGCAACGCTTCCTGAGCTCAGAGGTACTGGTGCAGAAAAAGATGTTGATGGTTTCTGGAAACTTGTGTTTGCAGCTACACCAGTAACAGTATCCACCAAAATGGAATTTTGGACCAGAGATGAACCAAGAAGTGAGTTTTCAGATACCTGTCCATCAGTTTTCGGTTTCCTGGCTGCCTGATTAGCCTGGAGCAAAAAGAAAGTGAAAAAAATACACAGCTTAGACTACTTGTAAATTCTAGTTCAGCTCAAAGGTGGAGTGAGAGCTGATTTAAGGTTTTACTTCCTTCCCCCACACTCAGCTACTGTAACAACAAACAACTAAAAAGTGCTCAAGCATTTCCTTTGGTTCATAATTCTAGGAATTCACTACTTTTGCTACGCTGTGTTGTAGGATGATTTCTTACCCGCCAGTTTCTAATTCTCTTCAACCTGCTAGGTGTTTTCTCCAGTATTTGCAGAAATTCATGAGTTAACTCTGTGTAGGGGGGAAGAAAAGTCATTTTTATACTTTTGATTCTGTAACAAGCAGGTTAAACTAAGCATTTTTGTTTTAATTAACAGAACATAGTTTTTGCAGCATTTACTATAGGTTGTGCATAATCTGAAACATTTGATCAGAAACTGATAAATGCTCGATAAAAATAATAATTTTTAAAAAGCACATTACAAGCACCCTGTAAAGCTGGTAAGAATATAAGGAAGTCTTTATTGGTTAAGCCAGATATTTCTAGAGGGATCTGTACAAACAAGAGCTCCTAAAACAGCCCACGTCCCATTCAGCACAGGTGTTTTTTGTATTAAGTCAAGTCCACTTTAACGTCAATCTCTAAGCCACGTTTCAGTCATTCTGCCTCAATCTCAGGAACAAGCAGAAACAATTCTGAACAGAGTAGAAACCATCGCATCCTTTAAGGCGCTTTGTTTCAAATGACGTTTGGGATTTTCATGCATTTAAGGCAGCAGAGTTGACTGCCTTAGAAACTGGAGGAGATCCCTGCAATTAATATATCCACAAGGCAACCTAAGCCTGAGTCTCTTGTCAGCTGCAAATAAAAATACTTCCCACCAAAATTATAAGTGTATTTTTTATATATATATATATTATATATATATAAAAAAAATATATATATATATATATTCCAGAATTACAAGCCAAACCCAGAATATACATCTGGAAGGTCCCAAAATTCTCTCTTGCAGCCATGTAGATAAGCTTTAACTGCAGGCCCCCAACTCCTTTCTTGTGGACCTTAGAGACACAGGGCAGCACGTGACTAGCACAGGAGACAGCGAGCTCGGCAGAGAGGCAGCCTTCCACGCGAGCAACACTCCTTACCATCAAGCAGCTCTAGAGTGACAGACGGATCCACGTATTCCCACCAGTGCTTGCCATCAGTCGACACCGGAATCTCCCAGTTGGACCACTTGCAGGCCAAGTGAATGCACACGCACGCTATGACCGTGGGCTTGTACTGAAGGCAGAACGTAGTAAGGTGCAGACTGATGCACAAGTTTTGTAATGAGGAACCAAAGGAAATCAAACATGTAAAACAAAAAAACACCACACAAATCGACCATTAACCTACAGAAGATCGTTTGTCAAGCAACAGCAGTTAAACATTAGCTCAAGGAACATTTTTGCTGATCAAATTTATAAGATATCTTACTGCCTCCAGCAAACAAAGGGCAGGGCATTTATCTGGTAGAAAGCTTAATTTGCCTTTGCTATGGCAAGTCTGATGAAMAGCAGAAATATTTACCAGTTATTCTACTACTATGCTTAAGTACTAACAAGGAAGAGGTACAATATGATAAATAAAACTCTAGCTACAATAGAAACATACAGCTCATTATGCAGTCTTGGAATTAAGACTATTAGAGGTAGATGCCCCAAAACTGCACACAGGCCCCATGAGTTACTTGTATTAGCAGTGAGGGCCGAGTGAAAGCTGAGCCCACGTGTGAGCTCAGCCCCAGTGAGCAGCTGGCAGCAGCACGAGGTTCACTGCTCTAGCAGAGCTCTTCTTAAGAACTGTTTCCAGCACAGAGCCCATCCAGGAACCACCAAAGATGTTAAGAATTCTAATCAACCATTAGATATTGCTTAAAATCTCGTTACATGTAATGTAATCTTAACAAATAAAGTTCAAAATTATTTTGCAAGAAACAAATTCAAGAAATCAAAACTAAAATCTCCTTTCAAATTCCATCTTTCTGCAAGAGATTATCTGCGCAAAATTAATAATCCTCCCTTGGGATGTGTAAATTTAAAGTTACAGCAAGTACTTAAGTTCTAATACTGCACATTAAGATTAAGGAGCTGTTTCTGAAAAGAACACCCCAGAACTACTTCTAGTCTATCTATAAAGAAAAATCAGCCAAAAGATCTTAGGCCCACTACAATTTTATTAAGACTGAATCAATATATTTAAAATTAAGAGAAAACTGCCATTAACTACAAGTGTAAACTAGAAATAGTTTTGTACTTACCAAGATGCTCGAATTTCTAGGTTAAGTTTAGCTCTTTGTAATCTTTAGCTGCTATTCAGGCTACCAATTTTAGACTTATGCACTCACAATCGAGAAAATGTCATCAGAAAGCACCACTACACTTCTCATTGTGCATTTAACCCCGTTGTGCCACGAGGCCCTTGTACAATACACCGCACTGCGAGCAGGAAGGTACCACCACGGGAGATGGCCCAGTCTCCTGTCGCAACAAGGGCAGGACACGTGGAGGGGGCCCTGCAGTACAGGAAGCTATAGTGTGCTACAACAGTGCAACAAAGAGGTTCAGGATAACAACCTGTTGGTAGCCATGAAATAGGATGTCTGTGCCAAATCCTTGCTTGCTGTAAGAAAAGAAAAACAGAGAGATTAACTATCTCTACCAACCCATTAGGCTCGTTCCAAAGCTCAAGCATTTTTACCTTCCAAAGCACCATTTGGCATCTCCACAGGCCTGACTGTAATTTAACTAACTAGCCTTTAAAACAATCGTAATTATTAAAATAATGTCTGCCTTCAGGAACTGGGCATGAGCCCCCATTCAGCTCCTCTGCCCTCCCCTGGACACGGCCTCCCTCTTGGCCACCTACCCCTCCAAGCCTCATCCCGGGGAGCCCCCTCTTCTACAGACACCCCTTTCCCCCCCCCCATTTACAGATGATGTCCTGGCCTAACCTGGCCCCTGCACTTGAGGAAGGCAGTGGATAAAACTCCATTTCTACCAGAGCAGGGACTCTGCTCTCGGAGAGGAGCCTGACAAAGCAGATGGAGGAGAGCAGGGGTTAGGCAGGCACCTCCCCAGGGCCTCCCGTGCCAGGCAGCTGCCATGCTCAGCAGCACAGAAATCAGCCAGCCCGGACAGAGCTGCTCCCGCTCAGCAACAGCAAACACTCAAAACTCCCTGCTCTGCATTTTTGCCAAACCTATGCCAGAGCTTCTGATGTGGAAAAGAAATAAATGTAATATTAGTTATGGTTGGGAGAAAGAAAAGAGGACTGCAGCATAGGAGAAGTGAAGAGCTAATGCCTGGGACTGTGAGAGTCCCCTAGCACTGCCCTGGCCAGCAAAGGCCTGTGCTCCTCACACACGCAGGAGCTTACGGTGCTGGGCATGGAAGAGCAGGGCTGCAGGGGAAAAGCGCGCTGGCGCTGGATCAGGGCTACCTGCAAAGTGCTATGCTGCATCAAAGGGAACACTGGCACAAACCTCTGTCTTAAAAAATGACCTGTCCGTAAGATCTGAGGAAGACTTAAACTAGACAAACCCTGGCAAAGTTTTAGTGATTTAATTCCACTTCTTATGACTGCCCAAGAGCATAAACCAGGTTTGTCTTCCTGCTACACCACTGGGCAGTGCCAAAATCTGCAAAGAACAACGCAGCAGCAAGGTACCAGGATCCATTCCCAGGCACACGTTCTGCTAGGCCGYCATAACCCAAGGGTGATTGGCAGCGTGACTGCTATGTTTGGTTTGCAAACCAAAACGGTAATTGTGTGCCAGGTAACCAGGGAGTTGAACTCCTCTCTCTCCTTCCCATCAAAAATTGTAAGGCAGAATTACTTAAAAAGTGAAATTAAGACTATAACAAAACAAGAGAAAAAACATAGCTAAACAAGACAGAAATGGATGTCTTGGCTCTTCCTTTTTCATCAAAATAATATGAGGCTCTTCAATGGTTTCTACATTCTGCAAAGTTATGACACATTTGAATTAAAGAACCAAGAAATTTCCCTACTCTGACTGAAGCATTACTCTTGAGGAGGAAATAAAAGTAGTTACTTCTAGTTACTATCAGCTTGAAAGCAAAGTAAATCAAAACACACACCTGGAACAAAAGAATCACCTCACATTCCAGCATCAGTAAAAAAACTTTTTTTTGCTGATAAGTACTTTACCTACACTACAAAAATCATCATCTGTTTCAAGGTATTAAGAGCTAAATAATCAAAACATAACAAAACCAGCAAGAAACTTCAGTTTCCAACTAACGCTTGAGTTAAAAGGACAACTTGAAACAACTGTCCCAAACATCTCTTACATTTCGGACAGCTTCGGTGATATAATCATTCCACCAAAAGTAATCCATTTTTGTTTCTTCAAGATTTATTTTGCTGTGTTTTTTTCCTTTAGACAAAAGTAGTGGAATAAATAACCCCTTGAAGTACAGAGGTTGAAGCAAGTCAGCTGAGCTCAACACTCGTCACAGGACAAATGACACAGATTTTAGCCATAAATAATCAGCTTTGTATTTTATCATTCAGGAGATATTTAGAACACCCACCCTGACTCCCTGCTGCAGAAGCAACCATAAGACAAAGGCTAAAGTAATAACCAAGCTTGTGAAGCAGGTTTCCCACATCCATTGCACCTTCCAGAAGATCAGTGTCTCCATGAAATTCCTGCCAAGATACCAAAATCCTTGTATTGGACACAACCACGCAGTTCAACTGATGCAATTCCAAGATAGTCTCAGTTTTTTCTTCAAGTGTAGGTTATCTTAGATCTTGATATAATCACCAAAATGCAACATCTACCAAGGACCTTTAGGGGAGCAAGAGTTAGCTACAACTACAGCCTCAAAAGACCGTGAGCACCCAAACCCTGGGAAGTGCAGAATGTGGAACAAGCCCTTCGGCACCAGAAGGCCGAAATCCTTCTGCGCAACAGGCAAAAAGCCAGAGCTCCTGACTGCAGGGCTCTGCTGCTGGCACCTGACCATATCTGGGTAGACCCTAGTGTAGGAATTCAGGTCCTGGCAGCTTTACTTTCTTCCAAGCGAATCCCACCTTGCAAGGAGCACCGTGAAAGGCTGAGATGGAGCTTCAGGACATGAAGCACAGCTGCTGTGCAAGCGACCGGGATGCTCAGTGCCGACACTGAGATTTCCTGATCTGATGCCCTCCTTCATTCAGATTCATCTCCTCTTCCACAGACGGTGTCTTTCTCAGCCTGATTCAGCCCCCGGTTGCAGTTCACACAGCTACTGTGCTGTGTTTGCATTATCTGACAGTGCAGTTTCCACAGAAAATTAGTAAGGAACATGGACATTCGGGATACCAGATAATCCACGGAGTAGCCAGAGCAATCCTGTAAATCCTTGAGGTGCCGTCGGCAGTTCCAAAAGGAGGTTGTGGATCACTCCAGGACTTCCCGAGATGGAGATGAGGACATGCAGCCCTCTCCAGTTCCACAGGAGCAGCCTAAAAACAGACCGTTTTTGCACCAGAACTTAGGAGGGACATCTGGCACCAGGAACAGCTTCTTTTCCCCCTCCTCTCTTCAGCACTTTCACATCCTTGGAATGGGCACTGAGGCTTGGCAAGACCTTTACAGATCCACTGCCCCCAAATTCCTTAGGGGAGCTGTGGGCGGTCCTGTCTCCTCAGTCTCTTGACTCTGCAGAAGACCAGGGTGGAGGAGACTCAGCCTGCACCATCATCCTTGTCTACTAAGCTGACCAAGCTGCAAAGATGGAACAATTTCATGAACCCATGAAACTCTGCAAACCAGAGGGAACAGTTAGATGCCTTATTTCTGCATTCAACAAGTCATTTCGTATCTACTCAGTCACCCTTTATCTGCAAAAATCTACACTAATACTTCTTTCAGAAAGGCTTTTGATCTTACTTGAACAGAGAAGAATAATTATTCCCTTAGCTGTATGTTGAACATTATGTTTATTTATATCAATTCCGATTTACTAATTCACCTTCAGCTTCCAGCACCTGATTCTGGTATGTCTCTGCTAGACTAGACAGTCTCSTGACAAAAAGGACTTTGCCACAACTTGAACCCCAGCAACATTACCTGATTTTTTTAAAGCCGCTTCAGTTTAATGCAGGCAACAGTGAGAGCATGAAGTGCACTAGCTTGGATGCTAGACAGCAAAAAGTGACACAGGGAGCCAGCCATCCTCTTAGCCACTTGATTAAGTGAGAGAGGCCAGGGCAATTCCCAGTGCTCACAAGCTACACCAAGAAACTCCCAAGCACAGCTGCACTCCGCTTGCTGTGGAGCCTCTGTCTTTGATACTTACTGCACTGGGCCACATGAGTTTCCCTCCTCCTCCCACCAGACATCAGGTGAAGGCTTTAATCACAGTTACAATCCCAATGCCCTCTGGATCTGCTGCTGCTCAGGCTTTCTGCCCGACAAGACCTTACATCCAAGCAAAGCAGCCCGGTGTTTCCTCAGCTTCAGTCACCCATCCAGCCTCTCTAGACCTAAGTACTTAACATGAATGACACTTCAGATTTGTTAAAAGCTTTGGATGTTATCTAAACCTATTCTTATTAAAACAACCTAACTAGTAAACATTAGAGGATAAAGAATTAAAAATCACACCACAGTAGCTTTGAAGACACATCACTACACTCAAATCCGTCTATTCTCTCACTACAGAGCTCCATGGTAGTTATTTCCCATTTGTATGCACGACACAATGCCCAATGTTTTTAGTTGACATATTTTTTAATATAAGGTACTAAAGTCTTGTGTTCAGGTAGCCTTAGTAGGGGAATATGAGGCAATAATTCATTTTGCTTCTGCACACACCAAAGAGCTCACCTGCTCCTATCAGCAGGCTCACGAGCATTATATTAAGTTTTCTATTCTATTTCTTAAGTATTCTTTAAATAGATGGATTTTCAGCCCTTGCAGGAGTCTCCATACTTCAGACTTGATATAATTTTAGATTTTAAGCATTGGCTAAACTGCACTGATGTTAAACACTAGCTGTAAAATGCTGAATTAAAAAAAAGTATCACGCAGCTTCACTATACAAACTCTGTTACTACACAAAAGTGGGAAAAAACAACACAAGAAAAAGCTGATCTATATTAATCTAGATCTATAGTAACTACCTTGACTAAAGGGACTAGCRTAGCCATATGCCTTTTCTTAAGCTCCTGTGGAAATCCTAAGCACCGAGCACGCAGCTGCTGTCTCCCACCTCAACACGTGCTCACATTTACATTGGCCAACTAGGGGCGCAAATCCAAGGAAAAGCCCTATGGATGCTGCTGCAGACTACTGAGATACTTGGGGCACTGACTTGTGCATCCTGTCACAACCAAATCCAGACAGAAAGCAAAGAGCAAATCTTTTTATTATGGCAGCAATAGCAATAAAGCTACTTTTCATGCAGACAAACTATATATGGCACTAGTTCTACCTCAAATCACATTCTAAGGACACCACTCTACATCGTAATCAGGATGCAGGCTGGACTGGCAGCCCTGCTTTTTTCTGGAAATCTGCCACCCATTTTCAAACTGCCTATTATATTTAGAGCAGTAAAATACAGACAAACACATGATATTTTATATCAGCACATTGCAGTGAGAAAGGAGAGTCTTTAACAGCTTTAATTGTGTAGTTAGTATGAGGTAGATATAGTTAGCATGGTTAGGTGGACAGTTAGCACATAACACTCCTATTTCGTATAGGAAAAAATTCATTTGAAGTATATTATTTTTGAATATTTAGCTTGAAGAAAAACAGCTTTTGACTAGTTATTTCCAAAAACATTTTAGTTCTAGAACGCGAAAAAAACCTTACAACCAACTCCTAGTTTTTCCAAGCCCAATTATAAAGATTTTTTTTAAATGATTCAGAAGGAAATCAATTTAAAAACTAAAAAAAGTAGATCAAAACTCAGAAAATGCAAAGAACAAGGCATATTTCTAACCAGACTCATTCTAACGAATCGCATAGAGGTTAGAGGAAAAGGCTATTTAACAAAAAAATTATTATTTTTTGCCACCATCCAGTCCAACTAAGAGCCTTCAGGTCTAGACATCTTGAAGCATTTGCGTATGATATGACAGGAGACCTGCTCTGTGTTCTTTATGTCCTGCAGTCCATTACATAAATAGGATTGCTAAGGTGGAAAGCTAGATGAGCCACAGCCAACACACAGGCCAAGCTGCCCTACTTGCTGATACAGCTACAGCAAAAACAGTCAAGCTGGCAGTGTGCATGGGGAAGCTGCTGTTTAGTTTTCAATCACTAACTGCTCCTATGCTTTTTGAGAAAGCATGGAACAGCAAAGCTAATGCATAAGAAAAATACACAAAAAAGAACAAAATTAGTTACAAAGAACAAAAACTGGACTCTTCAGATGCTAAAGTTTAAGATCAAGTTTTTAGCAATTAGGTTTAAAAACATTCTTTGGGTATACAGTTAGTGAAGACAGTTCATCTATGCTATTTACTCACGGAAGAAGAATCATATCAGACAAATCATACCACCTTTAAATTTTACTGGAAGGGTAAAAAAGCCCTTAAAGAAGGGCTTGAAAGTCACTGACCTCTCACTAATTGCGTACATTTCACAACATCTGTGTGCGGATGTTCAATGGTAATCTCAAAACCTGAAGAGTTAAAAACATGTTTTAAAACTATATTGAAATTCCATTAAAAAAATCTTCCCACAGGCCTAACACGTGCAAAGTCTTTGTACTGCGGATCAGGTAATAGCACTTAACTGCCTTTTAGTCTGCACCTTTTCCTGGATGATAAAGGATATAGTCATTTCAAGACCTGTTTAGTAAGATACCCCAGTGTATTCTAAAGTTCCATGCATCTATGAAGAAAAATACCTGTGTTCTTAAAAATGAAGAAATGTGAACAGTTCACTTGAATTCAGTACAAACTTCACTATATATGCACTGATATGCATGAGTATTTGCTTTATCTGGTGTTTGAGTGCGGAACTCAAACACACTGCATTTATGTAATCAGAAGTTAAGTCGATTCATAGGTCAGTCATTTCAGCTACTTATTTTGTTTGGGAAAAAAAAGTGACCTAATTCTCAATAGCTTTGCAAACAATTTCTTCCAAATGTATTTAAGCATATCTGCCTAGGTCAGTGTTCTCAGGCTTGCTATTAATAATTGTCTCTCTTCATGTTACTTTGAAGCCAGACAAGCTTCGTAGTGGAACACTGTAATTCAAATTTTGGAATTACCCGAACAAATTAAATGGTTACATTACAGTTTGTGACATTTAGAGGCAGTAACTCTCCTCAGTTACATACTATTCTTATACTAAAAGCCAGAACAGAGAAAGAACATTTGGTTTAAGACTTTTACCAACTGCTTCAGAATACATATACACAGCTCTGCTAGTGTAACATGCTACCTTCTTAGTAATATCTATGTGGAAGGGCACATATTTCTACCTTTAAATATTCCAGAAAGCTCCATTTCCCAAATATTTTTCCCTCTTTTCTCCAAAATGACCACAGCAACTGTCAAAATGAATCTAAACTCACAGGTTAGAGTTGTACACAAAAAATAGTAAAATTTGACTGTACCAACACTGTATCAAAATACTTAGTTACTGGACTCCCAATACTGATTAATCATGTGAAGTTAACTAAACAAGAAGATATTAAAAAACATACCTAAAGTTTGAAGCATTATTGTTTCAAGTATAACCAGCTCTTGAGCTTGCTGAAGGTATGCCTGAAACAAATTAACATGCAAGTCAAGACTTCAACATCCATTGTATGAAAATTTCAAACATGCAACTCTTGTCTGAGTACTGGTAATATCAGCACAAATTAAGACCACTCTCCATGCCATTTGGCACTGACAATTCAAGAATGCTTCAGTGTAGTTATATATATATATTTACACATACACACACTTTAAACAGTAAAAGTGTTCCTGCAAATTCAATTATACCAGCCCAAACATCTTTGGCAATCAGATTTATTTAATCTGGACCTGATATAACCTATTGCAGCAAGGTACTTCCATGAAAAGATGGGAAATACTATAAGCATCAGGAAGTTTTGCAAGTGCAAATCAACTCATTTATCTAGGTGCAGATTACCGGTTTTACAAATAATGTGGACTGCAGCTGCAAATATCTAGTTGGCCTTTGTAAAGCTAGCTTAAGCCTGTGGGCTCACACTCATACAGATACATACAGACATATCTATGCACAAAACCACAAATGCATGCTGGTGTTAACATATGCTGAATATCTTTACGTGGGGCTCGTAGAGCTGGAAGCACCGCGGAGGCACTTGAGCGGCAACGCGTGCCAGCTCAGGTCCAGCAGGGCACAACCAGCTCAACCTGACCTTCAAGAACCACCAGCCTGGTGCCTCTCCACCACGCTTTCCAAAAACATTCCATTTCAAGGTATCTTGGGAAGGGAAATGGGAGAAGGCAGTGTGAGCTATAAAGTAAGAGCAAGCAGCACAAATCTGGCAAAAGCGCCAACACATCCAAGAGATAAACAGTGCAAATGACAACTCTAGGACATCCTTGAAAACAGGATGCCTTCATAGCACACAGCAAACTTCTGGTGAGAGAGTGTCCAAATTCCTCTCTGTGCTGAGCCTGACACTTATGGAACCATGCACGAGAYGTCTATAAACTAGTCTTTAAACTATACATGTATGAGTCTTAAAATAATACAAGCAATATCCCTTAGGTGCCATAACACAAATATTTAAGTCCTTTATTAGTTAACTACTACAAAGGATTTGAATCAAGAACAAAACCTTTTTTCTAGCTTACAGATAGGCATATCCCAGTCAAGACAATGTAACAGTTCATTAGATGAAGTGTCACCTTTAGCTTCAGTTCCAACTATGGTTAAAAACATGACTTCCACCTACATCACTTTTTGTTTCCAGCTGTGGCTCTTGCGGGTGAAGACAGGCATTTACTACTTTAATAACATGCTCCAGCTTCCGGGGCTGTTCTTCCACTTTCGCTGCTAAGAACAGAGCCGTAGGAGATATTATCTGAAGAAGAAAAACATGTATACATGTATGTACAGCCATGCATGCTAAAAGAGAAACTTCTCACGAGTAGGAATTTTTATGGACAACATACGTTTGTTAAAATAGGATTAAGCAGCTTGGATTTATTTAAACAGTTCTGAACTCATGCAAGGCAATGTAAAAATGACTAGTCAAGTTTTMCTTTAAAAATGTGCTTTACTCAGTATGGGCAAAGAGAAACATAAACACGTGAGTAAAATGTTTGAGGCAGAACTAATTTTACTGCAGTTTGGTGCAGGAGTTTTAGTTGCACTAGAACAGGACTTTTCAAGACAAAAGATACTTCATGTGAAAGCTCACCCAAGTTCTGGCACAGCAGTGAGCCATTACACCACCTTTTCCACCAAATCAAAACACCTGATGCCACTTTTATAAAAGCAACATAAGCAACATTTGCAGAAAACTTTAAGAAAACACCTCACTGCTAGCAAATAGAAGCACAGTAGTGTAACATCATGGCAGAGACACTGAGTGAATAAAAAAAAATCTCACAGGAACTTTACTACACACCCCGAAGTTCACAAAACTGTATCAAATGGTAGTAAAACTATAATCTGAAAGACTCTGTGACACTGTAGCTGCCACAAACTGGCAGCAAAGCATATACCTGCAGTTCAATATAACTCAAGGGTTAACTATGCAGTAAAGCTTTCATGTCAGTTGTCARCTAAAGTGACTGGTAAGTCTATAAATGATAATACCGTTAACCACAAGAACAAGGGCCCTCTTCTTATGCAAAAGCTGCCCATTTCTAATATTAATTAGAATAACAGTCGTAATCCTCATGTAGACATTAGACAGATTAAATTGGTTAAAAGTAAGCCAGTATAAAGAGTTTCTTCAGAGCCAAGAGCAGCTGCTTGTTGAATGTTTAATTAAAGCATGCCACAAACAGGGCTGCTATCAGGTTTCTCATTTAATGCCCAAGTAGGGCTGGACTCAGTGAACTGAGGCAGCCATGCTTCCCCCAAAGGGCTTTTTTTTTTGTCAGTAAATAATACCACCTTTATTATGTCAAAATTAGGCCTTTCTATAAAATTTTCCCAAAGTATGAGAAACTGCAATGGACGAGTAACAGCCACTTCTCATTTAAGGATGCAAAAAGCTCAGTACTCCCTTAATACTTTTGAAAGCTCCTTATATCACCCTGAAACATGCACTTGGATCCTGAGGAAAACTTTAAAGCTGGCAGACGGGCAAGGAAAGCTGACACCCTGGAAAGGCGATAACCTTTGATGCATGGAATGTGACCATAGGAAACCTAATAGTCTCCATAAAAATCAAGTCACAGGGAACAAATTCATCTGAAACTGAGACAAAAGAATGACTTTCCCATTGAATGTTTAGCCTAACCTGCAACTTGAGACTTACAAGTGAATGGAATTAAAGAAAATGAGATATAGGTCACATGCTGTGAATAAGTCCATATTAATGCTGTCATTAAAGGTTCTAATGATTTTTAAGAAGTTCCCAGCAAAATTAAAGACACAGACTAAACAAAGTTGTTCATATAAAAGAAGCTTACAACTTCACTGGGTATAAACAAACCAATGTAGAGAAGTTATCTACTGTGCACCCAAAATATTCTTCAAGAMGACCGATAAACATCTTCAGAAGAACACACGTCATTCGTGAACTTAAATCCCACTTTCCTATTAGCTGAGAATCTCAGAAAAAAAGTCACAAGGAAATAAAGAAAAACATGAGTGTGCCCTTGGACTGTCATCTTACAGCTAGTTTAACAGGCAGAAGCAGCACAACTCCTTTTTCTCATCTGTAAAAACAGTTATGATACATTAAAGACACTCAGAATAATTTTAGAAACGATCATCTTTTGCAGAGAACACCCTTATCTCTCAATGCTAATTTTAACTTGTTATTACACTTGATGTGAGGTAGCTTACTGTTAAGTGATGATCCTGTAGGACAGGATTTTTTTTTTTTTGAAGAGTGAACACAAAGAGCTGCATGTATTTTATTAGAACCAGCAGCTTACACTGCATAAAACACCAAATATGTTAAATATTTTAAGATTAAAAAAAAGAACTCCAACCACCAAAACAGCCTCTCTGAAGCTTGTTGCATCTATAAACAGCTTTGAAAACTTGCACAATGAGGAAGCRCAACTCTCCAAAGTGCTATTTGGAGGGGGTGCAAGGGACTCACCTGCCTCACTCTTTAGGGAAAAAATTCCCCCTGCAGCCTCTTTTTAGGCATTTCCTAAGTTACCCTTCACGACACACAACTACCACTAACACCACCAACAACACTTTCAGCTGTCCCCAGGTACCTCTGATCACATTTTACCAATGATCAAGCTTCTAAAAACTGTGGGTTTTTAAATAATCATGTCTGACACATTAAATGCTTTATTTCCAGAAGATTGAGATATTTTAAAGTATGACTGTCACAGACTAGCATGCCCTATAAAAAACACAATTCTTCTCCCTCACAAATATTAGCACTAACTTTATAGTCAGCAAACCACAGTTACTATAAAATAGAAAAAAAAATGCTGAGTAGTAAAGTTCCCAAGTAGTGAGTTTCTAAAATACAATTTTCATGGCTAGAGAAGCTTATTTGTCTGGGCATCAATTATSTTACATGTTTTAGACAAGTTATCACTCTTGTACTGGAGCAAAGCAAYTCAGCAAGGTCTTAACCTGTTTCAATTGCAAAAAATTAAACAGCTAACAATCTTTGCAACTAAAAGTAGATGTCTTGTAGGTAACACAGTCATTCAAAAGGGACTTGCCAGCCCACAATAGAGTAAACATGTGGATACTTGGTCATTGGGGTCAAAAAAGATACATTCAAAATGGTGCTATGCTACATTATCTAATATGTGCCACCCACGTGGCCCCACAGACCTGAAGCCTCTGTTGCAGATTACAGTCCATGTTCAAAATTGATTCCTAAAGTCTGAAAATCTGCAGATTCCCTTTTTCACATGGATAAACGTCAGTATATGCACACACTGAAGAACCTTTGGAACGTACCCACATATGACAGAAAATTAAAATTTACGTCTTAGTTTCAGCATTGACAATACCTTATTACTTAACTTCCTAAGGATTAATTTCTTCTTGTAGCAGATGAGTATTATTACATTTTTCCACTTGCCAAGTACTCAAGGAATTTGATATTAGTGTTTATTACAGTCCTTGGCTTTTGCTTTCTCTACAGAAAACCTACCAGATGGTTTGGGAATAAGAATTTAAGGAGTGATTCACGTTCACTTTGAGGCCACCCCTTTCACCCTAACAGAATGGGGAAGAGAGCAGGGCAGTGGCCTTTGCCCATCAATCAACACACACGTTAAGCTACGTTCGGCCTTGCAGTCGCTAAGAACCACAGCAAGACACTCAGCAGGAATCAATATCACTGTGCACCACCTTGCAGCCTATTTGTTTTAACCTTTATTTGAATAATATACTTAACCTAACAATACATTTTCCCCCCTGTAATAGCTGCAGTTTTCGCGGCMTTCAGCCCCTGGATAACTTGTGACACTTAAGATTCACAGGCATAACGTAAGGCTTCATGTTTATAGCAAAGGCACTAGGTAACTAAATACTGTTCAGCTACCAGTTTCAAGTGAGCAGCATTTTCTAGTGAAAACCAGAACAGCGCAGCCAAAGCTTCTTGATACTTCAAATCTATCTTCGATTACTAGACRATATAAACACTCATCTAGAGCATGATGCACCACGACACAGATCCGGGCTATGGATGCACCAYACAGAGAAACCTCTCCTCTAAACCACTCTGCCTAGTACACAAATTCCATAAACAGCCACAGAAAACTTTGGATGCTTCACCAGCTCCTCCTCCACAGATTACTGCCAGATTGTCAGAACTAAAAAAATTGTTTTAGGAAAACAGATCTTGATTGAGGTGCATTTCAGGTCAATGCCTAACTCTATCACTGGATGAACAGAACCAATGTTGTTTTTTTCATGTTCAAGTGTTTCACGTTGATGTAGGCTCATCTCATTTGTACCTAATCACTTAGCTTTTATTATATAGCTGCCTACAACACTGCAGTTTTGGTAAAAAATTAAATTTAAGTTTGAATTTCCCTTGCATTGCAGCCACAAAAATAATTAAACAGGTTTCTGAAGTGTGTCTGCAAACTAATGCTTATCACACAAGAAACAGATGCCTATTTGCTTAGCGAACAACCATGAAAATAAACTCGACACCAAGAAGGAATTGGTAACTTCCCTGTAACCCACTGTGATCACTACACACCAAATTCCAGGAACTGCAAAGTTCCACCCTTYGGTAGACCAGGGCCTATTTCTAGTCTAGACCACAGTCATCTCTCACAGTAGCCTTATTTTGCTTATTTTATCATAAAAGGCACCACCTAAGAAAATTCATYCTCATCACCTAAAAATACACCACTACTAACATTAATTATTCTTTGCAAAGTTAATAAGGAAAAAAATGGCAGTTTAARAGTACATATTTTCACACAAGAACACCTAAAATATTAGACGAGGGCTTTCCTTACCTTTACATCCACCACACCGGAAATAAAAAAAATGGGATTTAAAAATCTTCAAGTTGGTACCTGCAATTCTACACCCTGTAAAAGTCACCCCAACTACAACTAGTACTTTTACTGCAACAACCACTATTCAGATTCAGCACATTCATTAGCCTAGCAAATTTAAAGGTTTTTCTCATCTAACTCACTTCCAAATTGCCTTAAAGTTGTAGCTAAATGAACTTACATTGCCCTTTAAGAGCAATGTAACATGTATACATAAACAAACATAACCATATTGTAGTTAAGCCACAGTGGGATGCCCACTGATTTCATTAAGGTATCTGTTCCCACGTGCCATACTTTCAAACTAGAGCATATAACACTAGCYAGCTGCTAAAAAAGCTAAATGCACCCCCCACTACCTAAAACAAGCTTGGAAAGAGCATTTTATGCTTTTATTCCTATAGCAGAAGATAAAATCCAACTAATAGCAATTAAAATAATCCCAAGTCRAAATGGAAGCATCACTCTTGCTTCTAAGGGGCCGATGAGAAGCTAAAACGCCACAAACACCCCAAGATCCCCAACGCGGGAGCAGTCTGGGCGGCGCTGCCGCCCACAGCGGCACGACCGGCACCCGCGGCGCGTCGCCACCGCACACTTACGTTCCGATTAAACTTGGTGAACGAATGGTGCATATAAAACCTGTGCATGTAAACAATCGCCGTGTTTATCGTGAGCTGGGAGCTGCAAGGGCAAATTAAGGAAACGCCGTAAATAACAAAGGGCTGAACACAATGAGCTTCCCACATCATACTTCCAATACAGAGTTTTCTTCAGCTGAAAGAATTAACGGTGTGACCCTTCAGGAGAGGCCTGAGTGATATGAACGTGTAAATATATGCATATGCGTAAACAGATATATATATTTACACACGTATGTGGGGGGCCTACGGGAGCGGGGCCCGCGGCCGAGCRGAGCTGCCGGCAGCACCAGGGCCACGGGACGCTCCTCAACAGCCCAGCCCGCCCCGGGGGAGCCGCAGCCGCCGCCACAGCCTCGGCGGAGGCTCCCCCGCCCCGCGGAGCGCCCCTCGACCCGCCGGGGGGCGCCGGGCCCCGCGCCCG